AAATTCCAGGGAAACCTTATTTTGGAAACACCTAAACACAGTACTTTCTGAATAAACTGTGCTGCCTGGACCTGGGAGTCCCCACCAAGCAACCTCCCATATTAACCAGCCCCAAGTCATGAGTGCATCCCTGGATTTCCACAGCCAACATCCTGGCTCTGCACCAGTTCAGGCTAGATGTGCAGCCAGCTCGGCTTCAGAGTCCCAGTACAAACCAGAGCCCCAATTGCATGGGGCAGTTCCTGGCTCCCCACTGTGGCCTCAAGCCCGGGAGCCTTCTCTGGAATCAGAGGCTCCCCAGAGTCTGAAGGCCGTTCACGGCACTGCTGCTGTTCATCTTTGCTCCTGGAGTCCCTGAGGGCCAAAACCAGATCCTACAGGGTTTGTGGCTGCAGCAGAAGCCTCCTGGCTGGCTTCCCCATGGCCTGGGTTGCCAAAAACTCTGGATCCTTGACCAAGTCGGCCAAGAACATAGGCAGCGTCTTGTAGCTGTCTGGCTTTGAATTCTTCAAGAATTCCTCAAACCTTCAGTGTTTCAATTCAACACAATAGCCAGGGTTTGAAAAAAAAATAAAAACCATTTATAGTAAAGCATTTTTTTTTATGAGAAGCTCCCATACAATGCTCAGTGTAGGCTGTTTGAATTGGAAACATGGCACTTGCTGTCAACTGAGGGAGGTCTCAATCTCCCAAGTTTCTCTGGTGGGAGAATATTCACCTTCAGGACAGTTCCCATCTTTTGCCGATGTCTGCCTCACAGGCTTCTGTGCTGATCTCCTCCTTGAAGGACAGCCCCCCACAGGGGCAGGAAACTCCAGGACAAGGGAAGCTGGCATTTCTTTTCTTCTCTATATCTGGGCAGAACACATTTTTCCTAATTTTCTAATGAAAATCAAATGAATGCGATGATCATAACAACTCAATCAGCCTGAAAGAGAAGAATGTGCTGAAATCTCCAGCAGAAATTCTCATGTTCCAGCCATCCCCTGCTGTGCTCTCCTGATAGTCATTAATTCCTGGGAACTGAACCACAACCTGAATGAACCTACTCTGTTACTCTTAGCTACCATATGACTTGTCTCTATGACACCACTTGCTTTCTTTTACAGCCATTTTCATCTGTTGTTAAACATTCCTCGGAGATGAGACCTTCTACCTTTATCCTTAGCCAAAACCTATTGTTAACTCCCTGGGTGGTACATTTCTGTAGCTCTCCTAGATCCTGGACACTCCAGCTGCATCACTCTCTGTTTTTGCTACAGCTCGCTCGCTCTCTCTACATTTCTCTCCCTACAATCAAAATTTTCTGGGAAGAGAAGGCCCTTCTTCTTCATAACTGCTGTCAGTAAAGCCACAAGCCTGTGAGCACTTACCAGATCAAAAGATAGTGATCTATACATCTATATGCAAAGCAAGACAATGATCTATACGTCTATATGCAGAGCAAGACAATTACTTGCAGAAAATGAAAATGAGCAGCTAGCACTCCTCCAGGAACTTGCTCAGATGTATTTGGATGGAGTAAGAACATCCAGCTTGTTCAGACATTTGTTTGACCCACAGCTGGATTAAAGAGAGATGCCTTTGATCAAACAACACCTGCAGCAGAAATGCCACCTATGGCCTGGCATTTCCTTTGGCTATTTGAAACTAAAGGGACAGACTTCTGCAAACCCAGAGGTCTCACACCGTCAGCTGTCAGTGGCCATTGCTCCCAGATGTAAGTCATAGTTTTGATTCCTCCTAAAGCTGGCTCAGACACCCACAGACTTCTCTGAAGAGTCTGGAAATGGTTTCTGCCTTTGCCTCAGTGCCCACACCAGTAGGACTCCGTGCTTCAGGGACTACTTCAACTTGTAATGCATCTGCTTTTGCCTGCTGTAGTTCTGGAGACATCAGGACTACAGTTATCCTTTCCCGTAGCTAAATAGTGTTAGGTTGGGTGATCACAGGCTCATCCCCACAAACACCAGAGAGCACAGAGGCACAACGGCAGGCGAGGGAGCCCCAGTAACCTCATCGAGCTGAGCTGAGCCCCTGCCCTTCTGCTCTTGGGCTGCCACAGGGGAGTGACCAGCCCCACGGCCAGGGGGACAACCCCCAGCCGAGTCAACGGGGGAGGCTGCCCAAGCATCACTGTCTACAGGGGCATTACGGGGTGCCAGAAAAGGCATTTTCAGATCTTCTACTATGAGATTTTCATCCTCATCAGCCAGAGAGGGGACTGAGGTGAGGCCATTGGCACTGTCTGTGTGTGTGCGAGTGCTGTGTTACGTCTGCACCGATCTGCGTGGCTGGTGGGCGCATGCGTACGTACGGGTATATGTGTGCTCTCATGCACTTCAGGGAACACGCACTCAGCCACACTACCGCTTGCACCTGGGAACACGCAGCAGCAGCCTTGCCTCTATCACACGACCAGATTTAGCAACTCCTAATAAATAGTGATAGCTCTTTTCCACTGCAGCACTGAAAGCGTGTTTCTATCATGGCTACAGACATTAAAGCTGGCTCCATAGTAATCAGCTCATACCCAGAAGCCATCCTCGTGCTGGGCTCCTGGGCACGACTGCTTTAATTCTGTGCTGCTTCCCCGCCTGAAACTGTAATCCCCTACAGCTGTGCTGCATGGATTTACCACCTGGGGTCAGCACCAGCTGGAGAGAATGTCAGACCTTGCTCTGTTTTCTAGGAAAGACAAGCTCTGAAAGAGCCAAAAGTGGGCATCTAAAAGGCTCCATTATACTAAGTGAACATTGGAATGGGTGCATCAAGTCTGTTCAAAAACCTGTTTATCCTATCTCCTCTCTAGCAGATGAGATGCATCCTACTTCCTGTAGATACCCGTGCATAGTCAGATGTATAGACCAACTATCTAAGGGTTCAGACAAGAGGGATTTTGCCAGCAGCACTGGCTGCCTGAGGTAACAGCCCTCGCAAAGGCATACGAAAGTGTCAGACCACTCCAAATAGTACTTTTGTTGCTGGGCGGAGGTCAACTGAGCTTTCAGAGCTATGGAAGGGAGCTTAAGCAATACTCCTCTGTATTTGAGGAGGCCATTACTTTAGACTGAAAACTCTCCCCGGTTACAAATGCTAAGTCACTGGTGGCCAGAAACACTTTTAATGCCTTTGGATTGGTTCCCATGAATAAACCTTTTGACTTCATAAAAAAGGAAATAGTGGCCAGTAAATTAGAAAGTAAATAATCTTAGAATTGCTTTTAATGCCTGTTATTTTACATGTGGACAACACTTCTTGTCACTCTATTGGCAGCACCAGCGAAGGCAACACAGAGAGAGAGAGAGAGACAGAGAGAGACAGAGGAGAGAGAGGGGAGAGAGAGAGAGAGAGAGAAGGAGGGAGAGAGAGATGCAGCATTACAAGCTACAGCAGTGAGTGGATGGATATACAAGGCCACCCACAGAGAAAACAGCCCCTTTCCTGGGATTCCCAAAATGCAGGAAATCCCCATTCCCCTTTCCTATCTTTTCAGATCCTCTGAGGAGGAATTATTATGAGTCATCCACAGCAGCTGCAGCCTTCCAAATGGTCTTCTGTTATTTTGTAAGTAGTGATTCACCTTAAGCCTCTCTCCTTTTCCCCCCAATCCCTTTAAAGATTTATTTCTCCTTTTCCTCCTAAGGAATGTGGATTTTTTGGTCTGCCCTGTCTTCATATATCACACTACCCTTCGTAAAGACAAAACAGAAAGTCAGGCTTTAGAGAAACTTCTCCGTGCCCCAGCCCGGACAAGTCAGTGATGGAAGCACTACCACTTTCCCTGCATCTTTTTTTTTGGATGTGGCCTTTTGAACTTGCCTCCAGTCGGGGTGTGAAACTAAATTTGAATATAGCTACCTAATTTTTTTTAGAGCCCTGAATCCAAAAGGGCTGAACTTATTAAGATTGAGCAGTTTTCTGAGTAGATAACAAACTGCCAGGAGGACTTCCCTCTTGCTCTCTCCAGCGTCCCATATACCCATAGCTTGCAATCCAGACGGTGGATACCTCCCCTAGCAAGAGTAGGTGTCGTGATGTCAAATTACAAGGCAGCCAGGCCTGCTAGCTCCTTACTGTATTCATTAACCTTAGCTACACCATGTATTTAATACATACAGCATGGAACAGGCAACACGATAGGAATTTATGAAACTCTTAATCTTCAAGGGCTCTTCTCCGATTCTCCTACAGTCGCCGGAGTCTGAGCCACAAAGCTAAAAATAAGTTTGTTTTTTTCAGCACCTGAACTGATTAGTTGGCTGTTGCTCTTGCAGGAACAAGTAGTTGCACTTCACCACCTCCTTTTTCACTTTCAAACACCACACTGAACACTACTAAGCAAAAAAAAAAATGTCCAGAAACATATACATACAAATTTCATAAAAACAGGGAAAGCGGAGCGCCTGCTCTTGCTGTAACTTATTACAAGACCTTTCCTTTTGCCAGAGGATTTGTTTGGCCTTGCCTCCTCACAAAAAGCCAAGCAAACCTGAAGGGCTAGGAATTAGAAGGTAGTAAAAAAAAAAAAGAGAGGCCTAGTTCTGCCCCAGACTACAGGCATACCTTGTAATAGGCCTGTAGGCCTTTTGTCAATTAAAGAAAGCTTAGAAGCAAGAGGGAAAAAGCTCAATTTGGATTTCCCTCTCATTTTGGAGTACTAAACATATTCTTGGTTTTTATTTATACACATATATATGGGGGAGAGACAGAGCAAAAGAAAGAGTGAAAGAGAGAGAGAGACTTCATGTTTTTTCAGCGAGAAAGGAAGTGCCTTCAGAAAGTGAATTATCTATAATCTTTATTTGCACAAGGAAGTAAACAGTAAATATTACTCAAGTAGTTCTGATACTTTAATAATGTGCCACTGCACAATAAGTCATATTTATATTTGCATGTGCATTAACTGCTAAATATAAGTATTTACATTCCATTTTACATCCAGGAATGCATTCAGTGGCACGGGACAAAGAAGGAAGAAAATCAATACAAACAAGGTGTTTCAAATTGATATAAAATAAGATTTATTTGCAAATCATTTTGACAATAAAGAAACAAGTATACCTCTGAGCTGTGCGTTTTGGGGAGTACATATCTGTTCCTTCACCTTCTTAGACTTCCATTCACATGCAATATAGCATACACCTCTAGAAGGTTTGGCACACAGTGTTTCAAATACAGCGTTAAGCGCTTTGAGATTCCCACAAGGAGAAGTGCTTGGTACTGTAAGATGAAAAAACAAAACAAAACCCACACCCCCAAACCTCACAGCTATATTGATTTCTTTTCTATCTTCAGATTTTTTTTCTTTCCCATGTAGGAATGCATAGTACACTATAGCCCTGGTTATGACCTACCTGAGCTCTCTCTTGGAATTTAAGAAGCTATGTTTCATTTAAAAATTAAAAGTTCAAGATTTAATGAAAACTGCTGCAGATAAATGAACTCAGGACAAAGGCAATACAAAGTGAGAACCTATCTACTGTAGTTTGTGATTGTGGGAGGTAACCTCTAAATTATACTTAGAGTCATGGTAGTTAAAAAGGAAGACAGCAGAATCTTGGAAATATTTATTTGATTTATTTCTACCCTTCTTCCTGACCCTGCTCTCTACCTTTCAAGGAACAGGGAAATTTCAACCCTAATGTCTTTTTTTTTCTTTTTTCCTCCAAAGACCAGTTATCAAGAGAATTTGGAGAACCCTAATCATTAAGTTCTTTGACCAGATCACATTAACTGTATCTTGTTTTAAAGGGAAAAGTCTGAAGGGAACACCACAAAACAAAGAAATGGCTTCTGTGAGAAGGAAATCAAGGAATCGGAACTAGATTTACTATTTTCAGTACAGTTCTAGAAAACATTTATTTTTACACCAAAATATTCTTCTTCTTTACGAAGCTCAAAATCATCCCAATATTCAAAAATATTACATTATGTAATACATTACTGATAGCCATTTCATTTCATTATTTAGGCAACAAAAACTGGAGAGACTAATACTGAGCCTTGGAGATATTATTTAATTTTGGCTTACTTTAGAAGGACAAAAACAAGGTCCAACTGAATGCTCTCAGTCGTCAGCCTACAAGGATATCCCACCATGGGGGTCTCCTTATCCCTGCTGGGAAACCTAATCCATCTTTATGGAATAAATATAGTTGGCCATTTCATAATCAGTTATTGAAATCGTCCTTGGAGAAAGGCCCAGAATCCAGGAGCCTCTTCAAGCCGAACACCTTAGCTTAGTCTCAGGACTGTCTCCTGAACAAGCTTGCAACTAAAAAAGTAAGGGATGAAGATTTCAGAACAAATCTTATGTTGACAGCACAGTGCCCTGTTCAATCCCCACTCAGTGATCCAAGCTTAGAGAACAGCAAGAAATTACATATACCTCCTGTGGTTATCGGCTACCAATAGATAGCTCTGAGCCTTTATTCTTCTGAACCATGTGGATATCCATGTTTGTGGTGTAGTCAAAGATAAATGCAGTTAGACTGATGTTTGTCGACTGCTGAGGTGAGCAACAGAGAGGTACTGCAGCAACTAAGCTGCCAGTATTCTGCACTCTGAGCATACTATCTTTAACGGAACAGTCTGAAGACCCCGTATAGTCTGCCAAGTTTTGCTCTCTAACACATAGAGCTCTGAAACCTAGAAATGCCCATTTTTATAGGAAGTCTCGTAGAAGTGATCGAGTTTTCAAATGCCATTAAAGGTTTTGGCAGAATTAACATTGTAAGAAATCTGTAATACACTTATCTTGCTAACAGTTATAGTCCAATGATCACTTAGAAGAAGTATTATTGCATTTTAAGCATAAAAATATAGGAGGTTCTATAAAGTCAAAATAGCATTAATCTAATATTGATAGTCATATAAAACAACTCACAATTATGTAAGTTTCTGTATTTAATTACACATTTAAAAATAAGTTATAAAAATAATTAAGCTTTTTTAAAACCCCTAAGAGATTTTCTTCTAGGAGTTTTTACTCATGTCTATTGATTGTCTAGCATCAGCAACAGCTTCAGGTACTCGAACAGTCATATCGTTCATAGATTTCTTCAAGCAGATCTGGCAGCCCAAACGTGATCTGTAAGGAAATAGGACATTGCCTTTAGTTTTAGCAAGCCATACATCTAACAACATTTACCAGCTTATATCCCCAGAGTTCAGTCATCCCAAACGCGTTATGCGCCAGAAACAATTAACCCTGCGCATGGTCTCAATCAAGACCAGTAGCGAACTGCATGCATCCATGCAAAGATAAATAGAGTTAATCATGGCCATGAATTTGCCTACTTATGAAACAGAGTTCAGTACTTGTAAAGTTTTACAGTGAGTACTTCCTACTTCCTGAAGTAACGTACAATACAGGTGACCCTTCCATTTTTAATGAATCATTAATAGTTTAGACAAGAGTAGGGAATGACATCTGATCTGCAAAAGGACATCTGGTTTCTCCAAGAAAATGAAGGCAATGAATGAAATCCTCAGAAAAGGCAGAGCCTAACCCATCCAGGGTCTGAAGGCAACCCAAGAAAACAGAATGTGCATTAGGACAATGGCCCTGACAGCTTACTTGAGGTGAACCTTTAGAGCTTGTAAACCAGACACAACCTTACTGAGCAGAAATTATTTTTTTCCATTTCCTGTAATTTCATAGAATCACAGAATGGCCGAGGTTGGCAGGGACCTCTGGAGATCATCTAGTCCAACCCCCCTGCTCAAGCAGGGTCCTCTAGAACACATTACCCAAGATTGTGTCCAGACGGGTTTTGAATATCTCCAGCGAAGGAGACTCCACCACCTCTCTGGGCAACCTGTGCCAGTGTTCTGTCACCCTCACAGCACAGAAGTTTCTCCTCCTGTTCAGATGGAACTTCCTGTGGTTCAGTTTCTGCCCGTTGCCTCTTGTCCTGTCGCTGGGCACCACGGAGAAGAGTCTGGCCCCATCCACTCGACAGCCTCCCTTCAGATACTTGTACACATTGATGAGATCCCCTCTCAGTCTTCTCTTCTCCAGGATGAACAGGCCCAGCTCCCCCAGCCTTTCTTTATAGGAGAGGCTCCAGTCCCCTCATCATCTTTGTAGCCCTCCGCTGGACTCTCTCCAGGAGCTCCATGTCTCTCTTGTACTGGGGAGCCCAGAATTGGACACAGTACCCCAGGTGAGGCCCTCCCCAGGGCTGAGTAGAGGGGGAAGATCACCTCTAGGGAGATTTGTATCTTCCTAAAAGTTTGCCCCCAAGTCAAACGTCACTTTAAAATCCTGCCTTTCAGTAATTTATTGTTAAGGCATTCCATTCCCACATGTCTTCTACCTGCAGTTCTGGGCCAATCAAGCAAGGTCCAGCATGACCACAGATTGTTTCTGAAGTACCTACAGGGTAACATTTCCATTTATATCTTCTTAAAACAGCTAGTGCATAACAGGTGTCAGAAAGGAAGATGTATCCTCCTACGACCAACACTAAAAAAGCTCTGCACTAAGATAAAGGAGGGTAAGCACGACCCCCTTGGAACCTACTAATTTTTTTATTACAATCATAATAGACATACAAATAATAGAAATGGCCTCTTGTAAAGACTTCAAATTTGATCTTTTCAGAACTCATTCAATGGAAGCAGCTTAAAACATTGTTTACCAGAAATTATGTGTATTAAAGAAGCCTGCCAACTTTTTAGCAGATCCTAAATCAAAGGAGCAAACGACAGCTGAAGATAATTTGATTAGGTTCTTAACATGGCCTAGTGAATGATAATACTTTGGGGAAAGACAATATATTCTTAAATGCATATTTATGGCCCTGATCCTACAAATTCATCCACAATCAAAACACTATGTTCACAGAAAGAAGTGAATTAATGCAACTTGTGTGTTGGATGAGACAGGTTTAAATAGCTTTAAAAAAAATATATCCTCAACCACCACTGCATCCTCACAGGATGAATCCTTTCTTTCAGTTTTGCTTCTTCAGTCCAGTAACATGCAGTAGCTTCCTCTGCTGTCATAACACAAGTCCAAGAAAGTCTTACTTTCCAATTCTAAGACTTATTCTTTGCTATTCCAAGGAACCCCTAACCTGCACTTGTTCTGAAAGCTCTGTTTGCTGCATCTCCCTTGGCCTATCCTATATTCAATGCAAGGGCAAGACTTAAGAAACCAGAACTAATCAATAGGAAAAAGGAGATGAAAATGGTGAGAAACACAACACTATCCCTGAGGCAACGATAGATTAATTACGGTCTTCCTCCTATCTTATATTAGGCTTCATATAAAAACAGGTACCAGAAAATAAATTTTTCAGGGGGTCCAGAATGCTGGAAGCAAGTTACAGACACTCAAGCTGGTGCTACATGCTGCTTGCTCAATTCTACAGTACTTCGTAGCCTATGTCTACCTGTGTGTTGGGGTATCCTGACTAGAACATATCAGCCACATTAAACTGTAAAAAAATTAAGACATTTCATAATGATGCTAGTCTGAGTTTACCAAAGCATAAGATGATCATTTAAAAGTTTCTTTAAAATCAGAAGTTCCTTAAAAAGAAGGTAAGACAATGCAACAGTGAAGTTTCATACTAAAATGCGACAACAAAAGAAAATGCAGGAACAGGTGTGAGGTTTTTTTCCCCAGCATTCTAAAGAAAAATTTTGTATTCATGAGGAGCTGATATTTCAATGTTTTTATACAACAGATTTGTAAAGAAACAGAATGGGTAAATTAAATGCTTCTTTGTG